CATGCCTTATATACTGTTCCTCTTGCAGGTTGCGCTGTCGTCTGCTTTCTGAGGACCCGGCCCCGGCGAGGAAAGTCCTAGATCCCAGTATTGATAATCCAGATCGATACGATCTCTTCGATCCGCGAAATCCACTTAACGTGCGAAAGCGAGAGGGTGCTGTTATGAATGACTCCAGCAAGAAAAAGCGAGGAAACTAGTACTGAACCTCAAACTCTCTTCCGCATCCTTTGTAAAAAGAAACCCTGTTGATGCCAGCCCCCTGTTTCCATGTTCCCGTTTTTAAATGATATTTGAACCCACACATCTTTTAGCTCCTGTGCTCGTTGAGGGTCCCGAACCGGCTTTAACCCACTACCTCGTATCTTAGTCCAAGAATTTTGTGAATTACGATTTTTCCAATCCTCTTGACGAATAGCATGAAGCCAGTATGGGCATTTTATGCTTCTTAAGAACTGTGAGGCTTTATTTGAACTTGACCGCCATCCTCTACTCTTACACGTTTCAAATTCAAGTACAACCTCCGTCTTTCCGTCGAAAGATATTCAGCTCTTTAGGAAACGCAGGAGAGGTTTCGCATTTAGGGGCTTGTGCTTCGTACGGTCGCCCTAAAAGCAGCACATTTTCTGTCAAGGCAGGGATTCGAATGACTGCACATTAAAAAGGCAGAAGTACTGGTACGAGTTTACCGTGTTCTGTCTCACCAGTCATTCCTGAGCGTAGAGGGAGAGAGAAAACATGAAGAAGTCGCAATGGATAGGTCTTTCTTTAGACCGGATTTCCACCTGTACAATGATTTCTGAGGACCCAGAATTCTGTCTTTGGAAATGCGTAACAGTAGTTGGGGATAACATGGAAAGCGAGGAAAGCAGCACTGCTTATCGTTCATTTGGAGGCAGTGCATGCATCGATAGTGATGAAGTCGACAACAGACAGTTCCCCCGAATCAGAAAAGTAGTAAGGCTGGGCAGTGTTTACTCTGAGAAAGAGCTTAAAAAGGGTTCAACAGAAGTGTTGCTTACTGTCTTCTCACATCATTTGTGTGTCTGTGTGCCGGACAAATAGCAGGAACCAGGGGTTTTTCCCTTGCTGCTTACAGCTAATCAGGAGAACGTGCATACTGATTGACTTCAAGGTCCCGTGCGGATAGGGACAATACTATCGTGGCTGTGACCCGCCATTGAGCAAGAGGTGGATAGCGTTTGCGGCATTCACAGCGGAGCGCGCAGGACAGTTTTCCAGACACTATTGCAAGACTTGGAAATCGAATAAAGGTTGGGTCAGCGCGGTGACGCGGATCACGGACTTTCACACGTGAAGTATTGACACCAGCGTGCTATAGGACTATGACTTGTCATCACTGAATTACGGCAACCAAAACAGTGGATGTACGAATCTCAGGATCTGGTGTAGTTGTGGACAAAGCAACTACGTCGGAGAAACCGGGAGATT